AGGGTTGGGGCGTCTGACAATCAATGTTATTTTAAAGCATCATTCACCATCTCTCCATTTTTTTCTCTCACCTCTTTATACAGTATGCTAGTGTAACAACTTGTGCTGCATGAACAACTCCACCCCGATCAAGCTTGCCCAAATCACTGGAACACAAACACCACAAAGCCCAGAAGCCCCAGATTAGTTGTGACCAATAGCAAAGACCACAAAGCCAAGAAGACCAGATGTCTCTGTTTTTTCTGAGAAACAATGAAAGTCTGCACCAGTGTCTAAAGTCACCACGGAGATCAAGTATAAACCAACAAGCACATCCCCGCCCCACAGACGTAGTAAGGGCACCCAGAGAGAAGGGCCTCGAACACCGCAGACGCCAAGGGACAGCGAACAGACCCGAAGGCCAGGTAGGGCACCAGCCAGCACCACCCAGGTACCAGGGCCCACTCCCAAAGGCGCATGATACCTGAGCCCCAGACCCCCAGACCCCCAACAATCCTGGAAGGAAGAGGCACTCACCCCAAACCAGAGAGCCAAGTGAAGGGACAAGATAGCCCGCAAGGAGGACCGCAGGACACAGGCCAGCACAACTGACAGAGAGAAGACTTCAAGTCTTTCTAATGGACCAGTAAAGGCTGCATTTAATTCATTAGCTCATTGTTTTTGCTGGATGCTGGAGTTTTGGACACTAGAGGGCGCCAATATACTGAGAATGAAACCCAGAAAAGCATTTAATATTCATAAATTCATTGAGTGATGTGCAGAAGTCTGAATAAAATCAAACTCTAAATAAAGCAAACAAAGCAACATTTAGTCAGCCTGTGATGTAGAGTTTAGATGTTTTACAGCTGACTGCAGGATGAAAGATGGAATAATATTCAGCATTTAAGAACAGACACAGCTCTTTGTTCTAACAGAAACATCAAGAATGAAAACTAACTGTAAAAAAGAAAAGACAAAGTTTAGAAAAGGTTTTATTTTTAAGTTGAGACAATGTTTCATGTTTTTTCATGAGCATGAAGGGACGAGTTGTCCCACAAGAAAGTTAATTCATTCATTTCACCAACAAAAAAGAGAAAACTAATGTTTAAAAGTCCTGAGCATCGAGCCTCCACAGAGTGGAAGCGAAAGTATCAGCACAGACTAAATAACAGTAAAAAACAGGGACGTCATCCTTGGACCACATCAAGCTTGCATGTGGAGCTCTGAGCGTCTGTTTCACTGTAAAGAGATAAAACTGGAGCTGATGTGATTCTGTATCAGGACGACATCCGTGGAAACACAAAGATCTCTGGCACAACTTCACTTATTACTCAAGGTGCATGGAGAAGAGCGATAGCCTAAAGCAGGTGAAGCTCGAGCAGCATCGTGGGAACGAGAACGACTTTATTGCTCAATCAACATGTTTCTGCTTGTGGCCTTCATCAGGAAAACACTGGGCAGAGGATGGGGGGTCGGAGGGGCGATGATGATGAGGAGGAAGCCTCTAACACATGTTTTGAAAAGAAGGTTGTGCATTACACAGCAGAGGTACATTTTGCACTTTACACAGCCTCAGTTAGTTACTGTATATGTGCACAGATGTAAACATGGCTCTGTGAATATGTATCTTTAGGAGTGGAGCTCTTGTCATTGCATCAGATATTAAATTAAAGGATCTTGAGCAGTTTTTATAGTGACAGAATTTTAAAAAGGCAATTCAACACAGATGCAGACACGTCTATAAACAGCACAACGTTCATGTCTTCAAATTGTTTGTTTGTTTTGTTGATTTGAGATGGGACGACCTGTGAAACGATCTCCTGTGTGACTAATGACCGAGACTGTCTGTCTGCAGACATGAAACATACAATAATAATAATAATAATGAGAGCAGTAGTTCTGGGAGCACAAACACTAAAAACATTCACAGACATCCTGTAACAGGACCGAACAGAATTAAAACCAGCTGCACTTCCGCGTGCTTCACAGTTCCTGATAACAACATGTCAAATGCAGTGTCTGTTTTCACATTTCATGATCATCATAGAAAGCACTGCTTCTCAATGCAATTAAAAAAGATGGCATGAATTAAAGCAAGAGTATTTCCTTCCCTGTAATAAGCTGGATCAACATAAAGACAAAGAAAACGCAGGATTTCAGTTCACTGAGGTATGAATCTGTTTTCCTCAGTAACTTTGTTCTGGAGCCTGGAGTCTGCTGTAAATCAGCTTCACAGAAACATCGTGTCTCTGGTTTCACTGAGAAACTGCAAAAAGGAAATAAAAGTACGTATTACATGAAGTCTGCTTTTAAAATCACACATACGCATGAAGAATGTTGGTCCTGTAACGATGAGAATTTTTATTATGTTAAAACTACAAAAGACGATAAATTCTGTCGGTCAGAATAAAAACGTTATCATGAATACATCTGTACTTCAAACAGGAACTCTGCACACCGTTCCCTCACCGTTCCCTCTGTTTCCTTGCTGTTCCCTC